TATATATATATATATATATATATATATATGTATTATGCGACTACGAAAAGCTGCAACTTAGAAAATGTAACTTTATATTTATATATGTATAGGTGGGGATACTATTCGCGGTAACGGACTGTATATGGTTCAGTCCTGCTCTCAGTTTCGTTTTAGTCGGATTCACGGAAATGAATGAGGCTTGTACCGGCCGAAAAAAGTTCATCATTTATAATAAACATTTATTTACAAGAAACAATTAGGAAAGTGAGGATTTCAGGTGAGGATTAATGAAGAATAATCAAAGGTAAAAATAATTTAACTGATATCGTTAATGGAATTTATTAAGCTCCATCAAAAGTAAAATAAATTCCCATCAATCAGCTCCACTCAGCTATATACCCATATTATCTATGTCCACATTTTTGCGCAACTGATCCTTTGATTGTTTTTTAACCGTGAAATTTTCATTTGAAATTGTGTACGCAATTTCAAAGCTGTGATATCATCATTGCTCGATCGCTGTGTGTATGATTCATTGCTGTTGACTGTACATACATAATGTATGTATATAATATATATATATATTATGTGCGTGCGTGTGATAGATTACGCAAATAAATACGAATAAATTTTGGTATTTTGTTACAGCGAATATATATAAATAGCTGTATAATAGTCATTTCTTTATAGTCTAACGGAAAATAATTAAGATAAACAATCGAATGTTAGAATGGTGGATCACAGAAACAATGAGATGACGTACTGAACTGTCACGAACAAAACGTTACAGTTGCGTTAATTTATAGGCCGAAAAATTATTACCACAAAAAATCTCTCGAAAAAATCGAGAATCCTTTGCTGAGGCTAATAAAGCAATTAAAGCCTTGTCATGCTTCGAATGGACGCGTTTATTTCAAATAAATTAGCAAGATGATCTTTTTCAATATTGATCACAAAATGGCACCGATTTTAAATCAATTAGGAATGACAATTAAAGGAATCGTTTTCCATGGCATATGCTAGACGCATAGGTATAGTATATACTATCGTATACATATATATATACTTATATCGTGCCATGTCATCAGACATGTAAAAAAGCATATATCCCGCCATTATCATACATTTTTTAAAGATTCGTTGGTATTTTCAACATTGTCAATCAATATAAGGCGCAAAATATAGTCGAATCGTGAAAAATGAAAAATCTATTTTGTTCGCGCACGTTTTGCGTGCGGGAGACGATGCGTGAATCAGACGGGAGATAACGATCACGGCGATTAACTCTCTCGCGGGTGCGTAAGAGAGTTTTTCTTCCATTTCAGCAGGAGGCAGCCATCCGCCGCCGCCGCTGCCGCTGCCGCGACGATGAAACGTAGTTTCGAAGATGCGGGAGGGTGACTGCTGCGTGCTTCCTGGGACGAGAAGATCGATAGAATACATGCGCGCCTGACCACGTCGCGACGCGCACGAGTTCTCTACGCAATCCGCGTTGTGTCCGCTCTTGGATTTGTGCGTTTTTCCGAGGTGCGGTCGTGGGACTCGAGGTGAAAACGCGAAACGTTTGTGACGCTTGGACGCGGATCAAATCGTACCGCGTACCATCGATGAAACGTCGCGAAACGCACAAGTTTCTACTTCGAGCTCAGTGCTACCGGAACATCGTCATCGTCCCGCCACGACAGAATTAATACCTACGCGCACACTGACCTAGAAACGCTGAGCTTGACGGAACGTCTACATCGTTATTCGTTATTTCACCCTGATAGTTAAACAGGTCCGGTACGTGAGTCGATTCTTTCAGCCGCGGTCTGCTGACTGTTGAGAGACAATTACTCTAGATATAGTGTAGCTAGAAATTTGCAATAAAAAATTCCAATTGAAAATAAACGCTAGCTGGTGCAGGAATCCATATATGTATATATAGATATATATATATATATATATATATAGGCTGAACCCATAGACGCGCGGATACATTGACGAAGAGAATTTGCATGACGGTACACCTGAGACGGTACACCTGATTGCGATGCTATTACTCCTCAATCATCATCGGCACCACCACATTGACCGGCACCGATGACGCTAATTACGTTAACGCGCGACACTTGTAATCTCTATTTATAGCTGTGAAATAATGTTATGCCTGTAGCGTACGTTTCTCGCGCGCGCGCGCCATGCTCTGTTATTTCGACATATATTTACGCTTACATTTCGCACATTTTTCTGCATTCGCATGTCTTATCGACACTTTTGTAATATTTATTTTATATTTCTAAAAATTACTGCAGTAATACAATATTTATGGAAATAGCATGCATGTATAACACATATATTAGAATGTCCATATAAACAAATATTAAATATAATCGTGATATAAACATGAATACTTTTGTGAGACAACTTATTGAATTATATTAAATATTTATCATGCAATATTATATATCTTGATTTTGCATTTGTATATTATCGTTTGCAATGCATAAATCTCGTTTCAGTTTTAACAATGAGTGAAAATGTTGCGTACTAAGGCATAGTATCATAATTTGCAATTTTAACACTAATTACGTGTAAGATTATATATAACAAAGAGATAATTAAATAACAGCTTATAGTATAAGTGCGATAGCTAATTAATCCGTTTTGTCATTATACCTATTGCCCTTTTGTATATTATATATATATATATATCTATTATGCATCTAAGAATGTAATAAAAGATGCTAGCCGCGCGCGTCTTCGTCTAGCTCCCTTATTATCGACTCGTGATGATATAAGTGAGACTTTTAATTGCGGATGATTACTCGCTGATATTTACCGCAGATAAATATCAGCGAGTAATCACAGATAGCCTGCACTGATTATAGCTGATGCCACTGATAGTACAAACAAATTTAATTTAGAATACGCGACAAAAAGATCTTATCACGGCAATTTTTGCAACGAATAGCAACGACTATTATATAAATGTATAGTATTACTGGTAAGGACTACCATTCGATGAAACAAATATCGTGACTCGTACGTATTATAACGACCCTATTGTCGTTTAGTAATACGTCGGTAGGTATATAGTAAGCCGTCGGAAGAAAGAACTTGTGTATAATGAATGGGAACGCAACAGTTGGCGATGGTCTCTGTCTGTTGTGCATCGATTATACAGTATAGCGATAGATGAGATATAAATAATATATATCTTCTGTATATACTTGCCTTAAAAAAAGTTGCCTTTTTCCAAGAGAAACATAGATATCTCTTATTAACTTATGTGTCACAATTCTGAAAAATCGCGAAAAATCAAATAATTTCGTCAAATAATTTTTTAATCAATTTCTTTTTAACTTTGACCATGAAATATTATAATCAACGTCAATTGCGTTCGATTAAGTAGATGCCAAATTTTTGTTTTAGTGATTGCGATGCAAGCGGAGAAGAGTGATACTGATACTGAGAAAAATAAGGCTCTCAACGATGTGACGACTTCAGTTGCGAATGAAGTAACAAATTTGAAGATGGACGATGGTTCAACGAGTTCGACACCGAGTAGTCCTGGTAGCACTGAACCAGGTAGCTTTTTAGCGAGCTTTAAAGCATTTTCCAAATTCGGTGATCCAAAGAGCGATGGCAAACTGATCACGTTAAGTCAAAGTGATAAATGGATGAAGCAAGCGAAAGTGATTGATGGAAAGAAAATTACTACCACCGACACGGGAATTTACTTCAAGAAGCACAAGTATGTATTTTAAGAAATTTCCAAGTCTCTGTTCTCTCGATAAACTTAATGTTTGTCTGGAAAATTTATTGTCATTGTTTCTTCTTTTTATCAATGACTGCAGATCCACAAAGCTTGGTAGTGAACAGTACAAAATGTTTCTTGAAGAATTAGCCAAAAGTAAAAAAGTGGAATTAGCGGAAATAAAGAAGAAGATGGCTAATTGCGGACCACCTGGAGTTACTGCAGGGACCGCTAGCGGAGTACGCACTAAATTTATTCATTTAATTTGATATCTCTCTTTCTCTCTCCAGTATCATAAAATATATTAAATTTTACTACGACTAGTTTTCCTAGCTGTATAAATTCTTCTTCCTTTTATTCGTTGACTGAATTGATTAATTATGTCATACGATACTATATTTTATCGTATGATTCATTGCGATGTACGTATTAACGGCGCCTTTTCATGCAATTTAAATTTACTTATAATCTGATTTGCTCCTTTTGATTTAGGCTGGAAAAGCAGCATCGACAGTTGACAGGCTTACTGACGTCAGCAAATACACCGGTTCTCACAAGCAACGTTTCGACGAGGCAGGAAAAGGTAAAGGCATAGCGGGTCGCAAGGATGTAACAGACGCGTCCGGATACGTCCAAGGCTACCAAAATAAAGATACGTATAAAAACCAGTAGTACTCATATCTGAATGCTACGATAATAAATATTATTAAGGTCATACTGTTAAAATCATGTCTAAACGCAGTATTCAAATCGTCGCTGCTCGTTGTTAGCGATCTGAGTTTCTTTCTGACCGTATCGTCAGCGATTTGACAGATATCTTGAATATCAATTTTACAAAATTTATCATCTTTGAGATGTATTAAGATAGCAATATCATAATTAAGAACTTTTGGTAAAATATTAGATACACGATATTTTTTTCATGGCAATCCTTATATATACGAAACTTTTACTCTTGATGTTTACATTGTATTTTTTGCATATAGTTTTTTTGATAAAAGGCCTGGAAAAAAAACACTTTTCTTAAAAATTTTATTTTTCAATTTATTCTATTTATATTTTATAACATGATGTTTTAAATAACTCCGCTTGTTCGCTTTCTTCGATTTAATTATTATTCATAATATGGATGGTACAAATATTATTACTTTATAGGTTTTTATATCTTTATTTACTTTATTAATAAGATCTTTTTAGGAATAGCATTTATGTATAAGTAATAACTAAGTACATTATAATCTATACTTTAAGTCCACGTAAATACTATATATGGTACTGTGTTACATAATCTGTTCAATCTGTTGTATAAATTTATTAAAAAGGAATTTTCTTAAGTTTATATTATTAATTAAACGAAAGAAATGGATATTATAAATTTCATTACAAAAGCATTACAAGTGGCAACATGAAAAAAGAATTATATCTTGTATAAATTCTGCACAAAAACTTGAACTCGTTAATTTTTGAGGTATAATAACGCACATAATTTTTGTATATCTATATATAAAACATAAATCTCTGTAACTAAAGAACTTTAGTCACATTAATTTTCAACTCTCTATACTGGTTACATCGGCTTATTTGTGTAAAGATTATGTTTATCTTTTAAAGAGATATAATAAATGTAAGTGCAAAAATCACCTATCACGCAAGATAATATTGAAGATGTTGAAGATATCGCGTATATATAAATAGTAGTAAAAAATATTTCACATATAACTGGGCAAATTATTTTCTACTATGTATGACTATATGTCAAAAATATAATATTTTTCTGCATTTTAAATATATTAAGTGCATAAAAGTGAAAAGAAACAATAACATCTCTTTATATCGCTTACTAATGGTGCTTCACCTAGTACGGAGTGTACGGCGTTAAGTTTGTTAGCATCATTATTTTTAAGTGCATATATGTACATTAAACATAATATCTATATTTAATGAAGTGTACTTACTGTAACTTTAATCATTAGTCAGCGCATTCGCGTCTGGCTTATTTGCAGAGACCAAATTTCATATTTTAGATCTTACTTAAATGTCGGAAAAATTTGATTGTACTTATACATATGTATATATTATCCCGATTGAACTTCATTTCAAAAATAATTATTTTAATCATTTTTGGTTTATCTATTTTGAAGTTACTTTCGCTGTAATAATAGTAATAATAATAATTTTGCAGCAATATGTATTAGACGAGATTTTCTAATTTTATATTGCTTGTATTAATTTACTTTTTTCTATAAATATACATACATAACTCGTTCCGAAAGAAGAGGTGTTTTCCAATACGATCAACTAATTTGTCTGGATGTCTGCTGATCTATAAATGATATCTAAAACTGTGTAATCGTCTTATCAAGATATATCGATATGAAAGTAAAAAGATACTTCTTAATAAAAAGTTAGTTTATTTGACACCTTTGTTTGTTACGGAGTCAATAACATTTAACATAGTTGGGTCCTTATATTTAGAATGCTTATAAACGTTTATATAACGCAGCTATTCGCTCTTTGATCAAACTCATTAAATGTGAGCTCGTGTATTTTGTGAGTTATAATCTCATATGTGTGATTGATATTTTTTTTTTTTTAATGTAGATAGCACTGAAATTCGACATTTTGATGAATACATATGTACAAACTAGTTAGCTGTCGCTATAGTTTTCTCTCTCTCTCTCTCTCTCTCTCTCTCTCTCTCTCTCTCTCTCTCTCTCTCACGTACACACGCACGCACACACAAATTAAGAATATTTATTTTTTAATATTGAAATGTGATTTGTTTTCAGCTAATAAATGTGATATTAAATATTTAAATATTTCGCATACAGTATGCGAATTATTCCTAACGCGAAATATACGTTAAGGGAAAATTGATTTTAAATTGATTGAGACTCTAGCAGATTTGTTAATTTTTTCGTCATTTAGTATATTTGGCAAGATACAAGCATGATAAATATTGTTGCGAGGTTAAACATCAAAAAGAAGGATCCTTTTCTTACCTTATATAACGATACGAACTTGATTTTTCTGCCTGGGCTAAAAAGAATCCTGCATTAATTGTATAGAAAATTGGATTCCGGTGAAATGTGAGTTTTCACGTATGATGTAGCTTGTAGCTTATAAATAATTTAATGAACAGAAAATGTTATAGACATCAGGTTCAATAAAATGAATAGCTTTCGAGCCTGACGTCTATGATATTTTTTGTTCACACCATCAGATTGTATAAAGCTACACTATAAACTCAACTAACTCATTTCATGGGATCTCAATTTTTGCATATAATTAGTGCGGAGTTTTTTCTGTGATTATTCTATACATATGAAAAATGAAAAATATTTAATAAATGTATTTAATTAATTATGCATTTGATATATTAAAACGATTATTATATGCTATAATTACATTTATAATAATATAAAATACTGATAAAAACACAATTAAATAATTTATTAAATTAAAATGATCTAAAACCAATTACTATGCTATGGAATAATAAACTATCACATGTATAAATGTATGTATATGTATACATACATACATATATACATACATGTAGATATATAAAATGTATAAAGAATCGTGACACACACGCGTGTGTCGAGATATTGCAAAATATCGATAATTGAAAAGCGAACTATGATTATTTATTAATACAGTTTCGTGCAAATTATTCAACAATTCTCAATTGCTTATCTCTTTTTTATATTAGCGGCATTTTGATATTTCGTGATTGATGGCTTGTAATAATTTAATAAGCATAAATATAGAGTGCAAAACTTGTAATTAAGTCTTTAAGAAGATTCAAACTTGAGTAAAAGAGTTGTTTGTTTGGGGGCCGTATTCTAAACCCAACCATAAATTTATAAATTCATCAACCATAAATATCATAAATTCATTAATAACGTAACTGTAAATTATCATTATTATTATTATTACTAATTGTAAGTTTGAATTCAAATCGGTAAGATTTTATTCGAGTATTCTAACCAAATATAATTACAATTCAGTAAGAGTATCCACTGATGCCCGAAGACGAGATCTAGCGATGTAATCGTCGTGTTCTTTGTTGGTCCCAGCAGCATCAATTTGACAAATGATCTCATCTTTCAAAGTTGTAAGCACTCTACGATCTTGTCTGTTGTGAACTGGTGCATTTTGAAGAGCTTCATGAACGTCCGATAAAGCATCTTCGAACATACCTAAGTCTACGCGCGCTTTAGCTCTAGCGTAGAAGGCTTCGTAAGAAATGGGCCGGATGCTGAGAGCTTCGTTAGCGAGTTCAATAGCTTCGGCACATTCCTGTTAAATAATCATATTATCGTAATTCACGTAAAAGTAGCAAAAATTTATTGCGAGCATTTAGAATAACTTAGATTTACGTAACGATTACGTAACTCGTATAACTAATCGAAAAAACTACTAGCGAGATTACTAACGTTCATCTTGCGCTTGCATCGGCTCAGATTAAGAAGAAAGTTCAAATGAAGTTGTGTAAAAGTCTGAAGCTGCAGCATCATATGACTTTGCTCCTGTCCTTGGCAATCTTCTTCCGGCGAAACTGGGAATTTTCTAAGAGCATACGCGTATCGATGCGACGCTTCTTTCAACCTGTTCTTTCGATATAAAACATTGCCATCTTCCAAAAGCTTATTTAATAGAATTATTAAAACGTCTGGTTTTCCAGCTGCCATAGCCCATGTAGCGGGACCGAGTTTAGCCCCACGACGCAAGAAGCATTGAACCACTGGTATATTGCGACATCCGATAGCTCGGTCCAGAGGTCGCATGCCATGAAGATCAACATGCTCTACCGCGGCTCCTTTCTCGAGTAACAGCTGTACTAGCTTTGGATTACCCTACGTATGTTTTTATAAATTTATATTAGATCGCGAATTAATACATGGCAAATGGCGACATGTGTCGTTCTTACGCGAGAGGAAGGTCGGTGACTACCTGAAATGCAGCCAAATCCAAAGGAGTTCTACCAGAGTTGTCATTTGTATTGACATCAGAACCGCGATCGAGCAACATTTGTACGGCAGTTACGCGTCCCCTAACGCAAGCCCAACCGAGAGCAGTCAGTCCTTCCTTGTCCTTCGTTTCTAACTTGGATCCTTTATCGAGGAATAGCTCAAGTAGATTGGTATGACCCTCGGATGCAGCCAATATTAAAGCAGTACGACCAGTGAGATCACGTTGTTCTAGGAGCGATATAGTTTCGTCTGATATTGTATCCATGCTGCTGGATAAATCTCCTGTGAAATAATTCAACAGTCGCGTACTGCAATTAATCTTATACCATAAAATCGATATAATCGAAGTCAGCTTATGTCGAAAAAGAGAAAAAAGCAAACCTTGCAAAAGTCGTTCGGCAGTACCCCAATGTCCTTCCCTGGCGGCGAGCATGAGAGGAGAAAGTCCTTTCGTGTTTACAGCTATAGGATTGGCACCGCGAGCCAAAAGCGCGGAAACCGTTGCAGTCGAACCATTTGTAGCAGAGATCGTTAGAGCGGTCTCGCCAATCAATGTATCGGGACGATCTATAATCACTTCTGCCATATCCAAAAGGTATTCTACGACCGCTTCATGACCCTGTGACGCAGCCGCAACAACGGCTTGTTGGGCAGCTTCTTCTCTACCTATTTCCAAAACGTCGTTTTCTGTTTTACTTTCATTGGCTGGTACAACCCAGTCGCAAGCAAGAAGATACCCAACCACGGATAATCTTCCGTGTCTTGCCGCATGCACCAAAGGACACTGGCCGGCCATGTCTACATGTCCTAATGAGGCTCCAGCGGCAGCCAATCTGTCAAGTACATACACAATAACGATAAACAACAATTAACTGCATTGTTCGAGAGCGAGAGAGAGATATATGCATATACAATTGTATACATGCCTTCTGACAACGTCACAATGTCCCCTGGCAGCCGCCAGCGATAGCGCGGTAAAGCCTTGGCTGTTGGTCAGTTCGACGTCGGCGCCAAATTCAAGAAGAAGAGACACCATCTCGACAGAACCTTCGTGCGCGTACATGCAGAGAGCTGGTGCGTTACCCAAATACTCAGTAATGTGATTCGGTGATGCACCTGCCAGCAGAAGCAACCGCGATACCTTCACATTTGGACTGTAAATGTTTCGAAGTGTGCACAATGCCGAGGAGATGCATTCGGTCGATAAAGTCAGCCAAATTGCCTAAGGATGAATGCATGGAGTTTAATTAAGCTACGAAGTTACGCTTCATTATTATTAATTGTACTTGGTGTTGATTGTAAACAACATACTTGTAAGTCGCGCGAGGGCCAGCATGGAGCTACGCCTCTGTAAACGTGTGCCTTTAACACATGGTGGCCTAGTTCTAAAACTTTGTCACCGTCCAACGGTGCTTGAAGGCGAGATAGTCTGAATGCTATCGCCGCATGACCAAGTCTGTAGTCGCACAGGAACTTTGTTGATTCTCCCTCGTCTCTTCTCATCAACCATTCCCTGAACGATGGGTGGAAGAACATGTATGTATTGTCCAAGCGTTTTACAAGAAAGCCAGAGAGCATCTGATAGAGAAAAGAAAAAGGTATTAAGTCAGCGAATACAGATTCGACGAGAGTTGACGTAAAACATTGTGCATAATCTGATGCAAGTAATTGTTAACAACAAATAGTCATGTGCATACTAAGTAAATATGTGAGAACATTTATCAGTTGACAATGAAATAATTATTCTTTCTCATTGTCAGTCAAAACTTTCGGTTAAAATCCAATTGGAATATATTTTCGTTATTATTAAATTACCGCGACTTACATGGTTTTTTTCGTACCGTCAGCAAAAAGACAGAGAAAAAAAAAGAGAGAGAAGAATGAAAAAATTACACAACGTATTCGTTTTTTAATTTAAAAATATTTATAAATCCATTATAAAGTATAATTGTATTACACTATGTATTAAATTGTTTAATGTACTTGCCTTAAATCTCTGTAAAAAATCATCCCATGAAATAAAATGATCTATATTTAATGAATTGATGGAATAGAAAATTTCAGGTAGAGTCAGTGGGTACAGAGCTGCCAGACAAACTGCCAGAAGAGGTTGTACTTTGTCGAATGATGCTGCCGTAGGAAATCTCAAGTTAAAATGTAATTGAAAGATCTGCGCGAGAGAAACTGGTAACACCTAAGAGATGAGATTTCTTGTTAAATTCTATTCATATTCATATACATATACATATACATATACACGTATGTATATATAACACCGCCAAAGTAATAGAATTGCGTTTATAGTTAAGATAGAGATTGGAAAATTTGATTTTGACGCGTACCTTGTAGCTCGCAGATTTAGCGACTAAATGTCCACTCTCGATAAGATCAAGCGTCAGCTTAGCGAAGAGGAAACTACCTTTGGCTAGAGCGAGCAAATGAGAAGAGAATCTCGTCTGATTCGCGCTGCACGATGATTCTGCCTTGCCGTTTACCGACGCCGTCACATTCGATTGGATGGAAAGACTTTGCGCTAATCTATAACCGACATAATCGGATAAATCCTTGGCGATGCTGTTACCGATCGCATCATTCGTAATTTTGTCTAACGAGATCCTCGTGTAGGGTAGTTGCTTCGCGCAATCCAGCAACTGCGTTCTGACCGTGCAAACGATCTTTAACCAGCTAGGAATGTTAGGTGCATGCCTCGTTAGAAAAGAAGCTATAGTGTCACCTCTGTCCGGCCTGTGATACTCTGCCTCGCAAACGGCGTCGATTAATATTACCTGAAAAGAAAATATGTCGAGTAACGTACGTAACATATATATATATAGTATAATATCGAGCTTATCGTACTTGCTCGCCAATATAAAAAAAAATCATTGTAGTCATTTGGTTCACCTACCATATTCGAAATCGGCAGTCTATTGGCTTTCTTCAAAGTCGAAAGCGGTTCAATAATACCTCTCGAGAGCGCGAGATCTGGATCAACGGTACACTCTCTTTGAGACAACGAGCCTTGAAGATGGGGCTCGGACAAGAGGTACTCCCTATATGAGATCAACTGAGGAGCCTGGCAGAGTTGTGCCGCTAATGAGTGAATTAAATCTGGGACTAGGCAGGTACTGTTATTGTCGGCTTGACAAAAGTGATAAGCCACAACGTGTGACGCTAATTCGCGGACCTATAATTCGATATGAATAATACTGAGATTTACACTTGTCTTAAATAAAGCTTGAAAATCGCAATTGGAAATAAATGCGCTGATAATCGCACCTTTTCGTTAGTATGCCGAATGTTGGCTCGCAGAGTTGCGTTAGTATTCTGTTTCTCATTTTCACATTCCTCGCTCACTTCCGCGGATCTTGACTGCTCTCTCCTTCTTCCGAAACAACTGTGTTCCACTAGTTGCAAAACGAGTGCAGTTTTCCCTGTGCCTGGCGATCCGGAAATCAAAATTCCAGGACTGGAACCATTGATGACGGATTCTAATTCATGTAGCAACCACTGTCGCCCTGCGAAAAGTGGGTCTTCTTCTAGTAGAGGCACCTCGAAGAACAATGGCTTCAGGTTTAACTGTGTCGCTAAACTATGATGCTGAGCGAAACGTACTAAAACAAACAGTTATTATATATAACTTTATTATATTATATATTCGAATATATATTTCAAGAATATATATTTCGCGAATAGATAAAGAACAAATATTATATATACGTTTCACGTCCATTGGACCTTTAGCGTTGCCAGTTCTTGCCGATCTCCGGGCGCAGGATCGTCTGTTTTTCAACTGGCCGAACTCATCGGTTTGTCCTCCTTGTGTGGTGGTGTTGACGGAATGTCTTCTGGGCGTGAGCGGACTGGAGCTACCGTTCGAGAGGCCTGATACTGACACGGACATAGACATGGACATTGACGTGGATGCGGATAACGATGTGGAAATTGATGCCAGGCTACCAGCGCTGTCGCAGTCTTTGGATTTAGTTTTCCCCTTGGCCTTGGCCTTAGACTTGACAGGACATCGCAACGCCGCCGCGGCCTCAGCTTCGCTCGACGTGCCCGTCAAAGTCGACACTGGGCTCGTATTCGTTGATGCCAATGTCTGCGTTTCGAAGCTGGTCAGGCTACTGAAGGAGGCCGCCGCGGAACTATCATGTCCTTGTATCGGAGTTCGCGAGGGACACGCGCTTGATTCCACGCTCGCATTTGCTCGATTAGATCCCAATAGCAGACCCAATCTCATGTACAGGTCCGACTGTGACGATTTCCTGGTTTTCGAAGACAGCGGTTTCACGCAACCACCCTCATCGTCTGTGAAAAAAAAAAGACAAGTTAATTAGACGGTACATAAATATAAAATGAGCACGATATCAAATCTATGAATCCAGACAGTGCAATGCTGACCGTAGTGCTTCGTGCTGTGTATCCAAAAGTTGGCGGGCAAAACAAAAATTACACTAATTTACTAATTGCAAGATACGTTTAGGCGGATCTATCAACTTGAAACGCGTTTGAAATGCCATTTCGAGTTAAAGTAAACTATAAAAAAACTTGCAATGTTGCAAACACTAGTTAGGCGATAATCTGCACTTGTAAACATTTAATTATGTTGATTAATTTTTATTCGTCCGCCCGGCCGTCTAAACGTATCGTTATTATGCAACATATATAATATATTTACCACTCTGCAAAATGTGAGAAGTTAAATGCTTAAAATCCAGGCATATATAATATCAATCACCGACAATACAAATATTTTTTACAAAGTATTTTAAGAATTGCCACTATTCATTGAAATATTATATATATATATACATATATATATACGTAACTTATCGATTTGATTAAATCTATTTTAAAATTTCAATCTCTATTCGATCTTCTATTCTTATTAATAATTCTCATTAAAAATGGAGGAGTGTTTTGATAAATTGCCAAAAGATTTGAATTAATGCCGATTTAATTTAGAAGCCAACAATGATAATAGAAAATGTACAGATTATATTTACAAACAAAAGATATAATATACTCATTTGTTTTGATAAAAGGATAGCGGTATGTACTCGGCATAATTCTGCTACTCTAATAAAAGCAATAATATTATAAAAAATAAAAAACCTAGTTATATGTAATAAAGGATAAGAATACAAACTGCGTGTCATGCTTCTAAAAAGAGACATTACAAAAGAGAGGTACGTGTTATCGGAAAGAAATTATTTTTTTCTCGGTGCTGAGAAATATCCTATACCGAGAAGCACGAGCTCATGCTCGCGCGAGTGACAATTCTTGTTCCTTAAATTTACATTCATTCGCAAACTCCAAGCATCTCAAACGTGTTTCAATAGCTATACATTAGATTTTAAAAACTCCTCCTGCCTGCAATTTTATTCGACGAGCTGATGAGCTGATTCAACCCGTCGTTAGCTGTGCCCTGACTATTGCTCCACAGAGACTTGATTTTTCCCAAGACAACGCCGGGCCATGTCGCTTTTCCTTCCAAGGACGAAGTTCTCCAAACTATATATGTGCGTGTAATTTTGGGTATTATCAAAATACTTGACGCGATTTGAGTCTTGACGAAATTTTTTCTTTGAGAGAAGCGCGAACCTGCATAGTTGTTTTAAGAAAGGAAGTTTGTGTACCTGATAAAGCGGAAGGATTATCATTTACAATTGGTTCGGGCGAGGATGTCGAAGTATGTCTTGAAGATCTCTGGACAGCAAAAGAGCTTCTGAGCACTTTTGGATTGAGGAAAAATCTTCTTCGTTGATTTGGTGGTGTGGGACAACCTACAACATCGATTTCATGTTTTTAATTTGCATTTTGATGCGAAAACAAGATTTGATTGCACGCTTCGTACTTTGCGTCATTTTGAGTTTTTGCCGATCTTGATGAGAAACAGAAGGAGTTGAAAGTGGCGAAGCCTTACTTTTCAGGTTCTTGGCTACCGTGATCAACGAGAGATTTTCCGCCCTGCCTCGCTGCTGAAAACAAAATGACAAACGATGAGAAAGATTATACGAGATATTTACTAGATTATACTATTGCGCAGATTTATGTGACTGATGTAACAAATAAGAAAATAATGGAAAAAAAATCGCTTTCTCTCTTAAATTTTGACAGCCTTCGTTCTCACTCCTCTTCTTCCCTAGCTCTTCACAAATGTAGCAGTGAAAAAATGATTGTTTTTTTTTCTACAAAGGCATGATACAAACAATATTGTTCTGCGTACATTTATAAATACGATACATTTAAGAAGAGAAGAAGAAGCAAAGATTCGGCGCGTTATTTCGTCTTTCCCCCGCGATGACAGGCTTACGTGTATAACTCGCGACGGTAGATTAGCCCTCGTAGTGATCTTGGTGCGTAGCCTAGGGCTACCACAGAGAGAATTCACCGTCGATGACTCATCGAGCCAACCATCCGTAGGCGCGAAAGTGGACAGTGGAACCGAGGAAACGTTCCTAAAAGGTGGTTCTTCCAATCTGTCGACGTCGTCGTCGTCGTCGTCATCGTCGTCGTCGTCGTCGTTGTCATCATTATCATTGACATCGTAGCCTCGCAGGCAAAGCGGACAGACCTCGCTGCGAAACAGACAGGAGTAGCAGCGCTCGTGGCCGCAGGAATCAATCAGTCGACGTTTCTTGCCCTTGTCAAACGGCATTTCGCAGGATGGACACGAAGATCCACCTAACATCCCCGTCGATTCGACCAACGCTCGTATCTGGGCCAAGTCTGCGAAAAGCACAATTATTTTATTGTTATTTTCACCGATAATTCTCTCTCTCTCTCTTCCGATTTCCGACATCGGTATCGAGATATAAAAAATAAGTGCAATGTACAAGAAACAAGAATATGTTTGACAATAAAAAGTTAAAATATAATCTCACGACGAGAACGTCTTTCTCTAAAAGTCAACATACGATTTCAAAAGCTGATGGCTATTTGACAATAGACTCATCTGTTGTGAACAAATTCTCCGATTACTTTAGTATGCCGGTTAGTGCAAACGTGAATATGCAAATAAATGGAACACGAATTTAAGGCACCGTAAAGCATTCTATTGTAGAAAGTAAAGTTAACAAATTTTGCTTCTCTCAATCGTGATCTTTCTTTTAACAATGCTTTACAAACGACGTTATATATATTCGCTCGATTAACTTGAAGACCGCGAGAGTTTCTTTGCACACATATACACGTTAATTTTCCAACTGTCCAGTATATCCAGTGTTCGTATAGTTGCAGGATCGCGCTTATGACCAATCTAATCTGGAAAGATCCAAATGCGAAAAATATCATAATGGAGATACGCGTATCAATGTACTTGTCATAAACGGAAATGTGGTAGACATAAAAAAAAAAACACGAAAAGAACAGAGAATAAAAAGAGAGATATATAAGTATAAATGCATAAAAAATTAATCCGCTCGGCGGACAGGGAAATGGGAAAAAATTAAGAGGAGAAAAGAAGGAAGTCGCACGACCCCTCGTGCTGGTAACTCTGCGTGAGGCAGGTGCAACTCCTCACGGCGAAGGATCGCCTGGGTTACCGTAAGCTGGGTCAACGCACTGAGTCTGGTGCGCGTGATGCGCGTGCTGCACGTTGCAGAGATTTCGCTTCCCATTTTCTCATCGGGCGGAGACTTTAGTGATTCAAGCATTTCCGCGGTTCACTCCTGCAGTGAATTCAATTTCCGCTATCGTGCTTCACGTTAATCGCCCGTCGCCATCGATAAATGCCAATTGACATACGCATCGAGCGGATAGGATCATTTCGCGATATCTGATTTCGTGCTTTGCAGCACGATTACCGATTATTTATAATTGAATTTTCTTACGCCACATGTGTGATGTGTATAATTTTTTTTATTCTACTAGCTTTATATATTATTATTTCACGTATTTCTTTATTTCTATTATTTTTCAAATATCTATATATTTTACACACACACACACACACACATGTACCTTCTCTTCTATCATTAATACAGTTGTGCTTAACTGGTTATCTCACAATTAGTTTAAAGAAGAACGGTAACATTATCGTCTCTTTAAATTATGCGTATAGAAAGTTGTTTTCTTTTAGTATCGCGTGATACATTATCGTTTAACTGGATCCGTTTTGCTAACGCCGGTGAAACGTGATCTCTCAATCGTCGATGTGGCATTGACGATTTTACGAAACGACTGCAAATATTTAGCACAGCGTAACTTTTTCTATGGATAATGCATTTTGCGTCATTAAGTATCTTTGAGAAAATGAATCTGTAGAAATTTTGTATAATCGCGCGTTGAACAATATTGTCTGTTGAGAATTCATTCATCCGTTTCGCTGAAAAGGACGACGAAATATGACATCTATACCGACATGTGTCGACCTCAATGGAGCGAGAACGGAGGCGATTAAAGTCCGTTCGCCAAGCGAGAAAACCAAGTGGAACGGAGCAGAACGTCCGACCGACCGGGGACCACCTGTTGGCTGAGGCTGGCCAGCTTCTCCATCTCCGCAGTCTCCACTTCCGTTTACCATATATATGTTTCCCATAGATGACCCGAATCAATACTGAATCTTAATTATTGTCCAAAGCCACAGTTTTTTTCCTTTTAGTAAACACAACGATTATAGCAATTGCAGTGAAATTAAAATTCATGTAATTTCTGACTTTCTGTAGTAATTCTTTAAGTTTAGAAAACAAGAGAGATATGGTTTATTAATTAATAATTATAATTTATTTACTCCCCTATTTGATAATGTTTCAATGGATTTCTTGGAAACATGCTTGTCTCACATTCAGTGCAGATATGTACTTGGAAAAAGATGTATAACTACTTGTACGTATATTGTTAAGATATCGTGATTAAAAAAATTAAAAACAAGATTAATAGATCTGGATAATATGTAACGTGAGAACGGTAAAAGATGGAGGTCATCGGATGGAGAACGGCAGTTATATCTGGTCGTCGTTTCGGTTTCGACGAGTCACGTGTATTAATCGTTATTCAGTGCCCCGCAGAAGAGTGAGAGAAAGTTACTCTACCGAGGCGCTCGCCTACAGTCCTGTCGTATTTGAATCCTGTCGATACCTGTTCGATATACCGAGGAATTATAATAAAATATCGTGATACCGCTAAATCGTAGCAATTCTCAAAAGCAGATTATAAATATTCCATAACGTTATAATTAAAATAATAATAATTAATATTACTATAAAATTTAAGATTAACTTGAACAAACGCAATTAATGTAGTACACTTTAGTTAGTTACCTTACTCCTTTGCTCTGGAGTGAGATCCAGACAAAGAGAAAGCAAGAATCGCACGAAAAGTTTAATGGGATTAATTCATTGGAAAAATGATCAACGTCGAGCTTGCTAAATTATTATTCATTTCTCACGCCTCGACGCACGGCATTAAGATTCAGATTGGAATTTAATTCGTTGTTTCTATGAAACATAACACGGTTTACCGTTGTGACGCTATCGCTGATAAGATATGTATTAGATAACAGTTGGAATCTATGAATTTCGTGTGTGCAGATAAATTAAATAAATAAAGAAAAAAACTCGCGGCTTATCGTTCAACTACACTCTTTTTCATACCGGAAAATTGCAACATAACGTGACATCTTGCTCTTACAATTATCAGTCATGTACTCGTGACACGTGAATATCTTAACACATATACATATAACTCTGCTAAAATTATACTCTTATATCTTTATTATAAATACTATTCTCTCTTCTCTCTTTCTCTAAAATAACGTAATAATATATAACGTAATAAAAAATAACGTAGTTTTAACATAAGATTTTCAAGCTTATCTGTCATCTCTCATTTATACATTTAACATTTGCACATGGTCTCTACAAACGCGGACACAAATATTAATTTAGATAACAGCGCTGTCTTACGTAGACCCGCCTTAAATGCAATTTCTAGACAAATTGCGATTTTCGTAACAGACTCAAAGTACGAAATTCACAATATCAAATTACATACAAATTGAATAAAGTCGTTACGTGATAATGAAATACAAAAACAATTATATTTGATTTTTTACTTAGCTTTTTAACTTTGAGGAAGAAACATTTCTAAACGCACTGTGGAATCATTCTAACCACGCCTATTAAATTTCTTTGAACAGATTAAATTATCGTTCATTTCGGTTATCTACTAACTAGCTATACTCTAGTTTGCCACTAATTTTTAAAATCTCTTTATTTTTATGACTCAAATGGTGTGCTACATAACTTTGGTTCTCAATTTTCCAATTAGTTAATAAGCTAAGTTAAATCGGAATCTTTTGATATAATTACGGATTTGTTTCTCGAAAATAATGTTCATTACTTGTTAAATCTTGCTTCGATAATATTATTATTTTGATAAACAGGTTAAAAAACGTGCCGATACGCGTATATCTATCAGTTGTCTGCATTATTTTAGCCAAGATCATGTTTTTAAAACATACGAATAATATATCTCTGTTTAAATTTTTTAATCTATCACCAAATTATACCTATAAATAATAGCGCAATGAAAGCATTATTTTTCTCGGCATATAAATCGAGAAATGTGTCATACATATAGCGTATGCGATCATGCTCCACTTTCTCCTTTCACGGTTCACACGATTCCACCAAACACGGAATTCGAGTGAAAAAGAGACTAAGATTTTTCGTAAATAAATCGTAATGTTCAATTTCTTTCGATATAAAGGATCAATAAGGGATAAATATCAATATCTATAGATAAAGTGGTTATTCAGGTTCTTGATTCTTAGAATGGGCAGTCACACGCGACTCGATCCGTTGATCGTAAGACTGCTGGTCGCCGCCTCGCTACTCTACATATTCATCACTTACTAGACAACCGCCCACAGCATGCATAGATTTGCACACTATCACAATATTTCGTAAATAATCATACAAGAGCAAATTTTTTTGTTAAATTAAGTAATTACCATTATTAATAGAATAATATTAATAACTTATCATTTATTAATAGATTAAAAAAATATATGTACAAATATATGTAATTTATTATATTAACTCTCTCTCTCTCTCTCTCTCTCTCTGTGTGTGCGTGCGCGCGCGCGCGCGCATACTGTTTAGCTGTATTATACATTTCTAAAAAGTTAGAAAGATCTATAAGGAATGGGGTTGGTACAAAGAGAAAAATGTATAAAAGAATTTAATACCTTTGTAAGGTACATTAATCATCGTTAATAGATATCACCCTACTTTTATATACTTGGCGTCGCGCCGCGTTGCTTGATATTTTCGAAGTGTTAAGAGAAAAAGATGCACATAAGAATACAGAATCTATCTATGTTCAGCTAATATAAATCGAATATTTTTCGATGCTTATGGGATAACTGAAAATCGAATAATTTCTTGTAACGAAAAATATTTCACATTCTATATATTGTTTCTAATTTACTTAAAAAATGTTCTTATAAATTTCCGATTGGGCCCAGAAAATAAAGTTTTCGCAACGAGAAAGTGAGGCATACAATTAACCGTGACATCACCGCGTACGTGTACCTCTTTCAAGGTCTATTTCACGCGTATGTATATCTATAAGTTCAAACAATGCATTCACGGATTTTATCAAGCTCTTTCTCAAAAGAAAATTCGTTAGTTATGAAGAAGTAACTTAACTGTATAATCGGATATTCTATGTTCATACTGGCATTTAAAATTGCAAAATTGAAAGAAATTCTCCTTCCTTCGTTCTTTATCTGCATCTTGATGAACTGCGTAAACAGGTGTGCGCATTTTACAAGATAATGCGTGACGAGAGTACAATTATAAGTGCGAGTCATGTTGGAGCGTTAGCAAATTCGAGTCCCTTTATCACATGCCGTGCTGTTTCTTTTCACGAGGCGCGCCTCTCGAAAGAACCACTTCAACTGACCTACTTATCGATGTCATGTCGTGGTTTTTGTTATAATATAAAATATGTTTGATAATAGATGATCTCACATCATCATGTGCGCGCGCACATACACACACATTCAAAAGAAATATATAATGTTTATTAAGTACTATGTATAGTGATATGCAAATACGTGCACCTGTATAAATAATTGTAATATATACGTATATATTACATCAAAGGTAAAGAGATATATTAGAATAATTAGAATTTATGAATTTAATGTATTTAATGTAAGATACGTGTAAGTTTTAGATACAGGTGACAGAGAAAGTTAGACGCCGCTATATTCAGGGCAAGGTGCGCAATACAGGTGTACATACATACATACATACATTTCGTAACAACGTATTGCAGGTTATCGTATGAGGTATTAGTGGATATAACCTGTGCTTTTCCATACTCATAATCAATAAACATGCGTTTGAATTGCTTGGGGAAGATTTCTTCTTAGTTTTATAAAGAGGAGTAATAAAACTATCATATATTTAAGCATTGATTTGAATTTACATAATCTTTGTTTTATACATATATTTATAAGTTCAATTTAAAAATTATTACTATAGAATATTAATTGTTTTCTTCATATAATTGCGATAGTATTATTTTTAATAAATGCTTCGCACAGGATGTTCTCTATCTACAATCTCTCTATATACGTTCTTTTTCTCTAATGGTCATTTAAATGATTAACAAAAATAATATGATATAATATAATATACAATTTGTATAAAAATTGTTTTACAAAGATATCGATATATTAGATCAAAAAATTAAAAAAATAAAATTTTGAGGTATAAATATTTTTTTCTTTTTTTATCTTTTATATCTTCGTTTGATCGTGAAATTGTGCTCCGAGAAGCTACTGAATCATCTACTATTCTATCATACCTAAAAGAATCGTAAAAAAATAAAAATTGTTCCTTGAGTGCAAATAAAGTGAAGCAATATGACGTGTTTACTATGCGGTGTCAAAGGAATATCGATGATAAATCGAAAGCACATTGAATCTCAAGAAGACTTTTCTTCGCTATACGGTTAATTCCGTCTTCCGATAGTAGCGGCTCTTATCTGCGACTCGATGCGTGCCTCTATATAATCTAACACAACCGGCTAAATACAACCAAGTGAATCGAGACGAATTTCCTCTCGGATTTATTTTTCTTTTTCTCTCTCTTTCTATCTTTCTTTCTTCTCTCAGAGTGTTAATTGCATCGCATCAAACTCGATAATGCATCGAGAAGAAAATAATTATTTTGAATTAAAACGCAATAAAATTTCACCATACTATAATAGTATTATACAATAATTCAAGTTTCATCATGTACACGCGTCATTTTTCTTTTCCTTTTTGAAAGTTTTCTTCTCAAAAAATATCAAGAATAACTCTAATCATTAGAGTTCTCTATCATAATGATATAAACGCATCATTTTTAAGACTTTTGAAAAAAAAAATTATGTATATTTATATCTATTCTATATACAAACTATTCTGAGTTTTATATCATTATATCATTCTATATTTCAAACTTTATATTTTAATCTTTCGACATGATTGATATGATAAATTCTTGATTTTACGTAAAATATCCATTTTCTTATATATTCACATACTTATGTACATTACTTATGTAGAATGATGAATTTACTAACCTTGAAGCGCACATTTAATTTAACACATTTTTTAGCTCGAATCATGTTTAATTTTATCTTTGATTTCTCCGACGTTGAATCGATATCGATCTGACTCATTTTTTATTGAATTTTGTTGTGAGAGATTTTCTTAAGCGCAAAATATGATTGACGTGATATTGTAACGTTCATTTTTGGAATAATTCCAACGGAAACCAGTTTATTACAGGTAGATATACACGCATATATATATATGTAGGCACATACGGAATATATACTTTAAAACGGAAATTCGTTGTTCCACTCCAGGGCGTCAAACAAATATGCCTTTAAAATGTACCTATGTATAACGCAACGTTAATTTCCCATTTTTAATTCGTTTGTTCAACATCGAGACAAATCTCGTGGCATTTAAGTTAAAGTTTGAACTTTACTATTATTCCGCAACAAGATTATACATTGCATTATGTTTTTGACAAACAATTATTAGACTCATTTGAGAAATAAATACTTATTGGTTATTACGTTTATTAATAAATTACTTTTTAAGACACGCACTACTCCAACTATTTTCCATAGAGAGATTATTCTAATACTCTACAATCTCTATATATTAGTTTATCATATACATATATAAAAAGTTTAATGATTTTTATATAAAAAAGTATTAATTCAATCTTCTTGCGTAATATAGTTATCCGAAGCTATAAATATGGGTGTTTAAGAAAATTTTTTACCGTAAAGTTTAATCGCGTCACTAACGATAAGCAAAAGCACGCGATTTATAAGCGCCAGAGAATCGACGCGATTGTACCATGATTGTATGTACACGCGCATATACTCTCTCTCTCTCTCTCTCTCTCTCTCTCTCTCTCTCTCTCTCTCTCTCTCTCTCTCTGTCTTTTGATAATTTTATTGCATGTTGAGAAGGTACCAAGGATGCTTTTCTTTAATTAACTTTAAAAATACACGTTCTAGCAGTTTCTTTAATTTTTGTTAGAACTGTCACATGAATACACCTCGAATGTGCACGAATGCCACGAGAGATTCGATTTAATGTAACTTGCAAGTTTTAGATAATATACAAGACTAGAGAATAATATTTGCAACACGTATTTTAAACGAATAAATTTGATCTGTTCATTTAGTGTAATTTAGTGTAATGTATATTTTATATATGTGGAAACTTAAGTTTACTTCCTGGAGAAATTTAATCTTTGAAAGATCGATCAGGCGAATAACTTTTAACGTTGCGACTATGTTGAAAGAAAAATCGCGTAAATGTTATAAAAAAGAAAAAATAAAAAGAATGGACAATATACTTTTCCAAAGCGTAACGTATACTTACCGAGCACGGAGAGGCTGAGACCGGAGTTAGGGCGAGGCGATCTGTCGGGGGGCGCCATGTCGCTTCTCTCTCTCTCTCTCTCTCTCTCTCTCACTTTCTTTTTCCTTTTTCACACTCTCTTCTCTTCGCTTAAAATGTCTCTTTCTTATTCTTTTTTACACGCAGAAATTCTTGTACATCGCATGGTGTATTACACTCAAGTCACATCACGCACAACATATATCCACAAATTGGAGCAGCCAGCAGCGCGCGTATTCTTACAGCTGACGGAGATACGAACGCGCACCTGACAACTATCGCCAACTCGCGATTATTATGAAGCACATACGCGACGATGAGTAGCTGTGAATGGGGAAACTACACGCGATATGGCTTTCGATGCATTTCGCCTCATCTTCATAATCATCTTCTTTTTTCCATCTCTTTCCTTTTATTTTTCTATGTTTTTTAAAATATTGAAATGTCAAGCACGCGGAGACACGCAACGAAGGTTTATGACGCACTGACTGCTAGTCGCTGTTGCTGTTGAGGTACATACTTGAGGTTATTCGGCCGAGCGGCGAGCGACAGCGGCGCGCGGCGGTGGCGGCGGCAGCGGCGACGGTGGCCGGTGGTGGCCGCGGTGGCGGCGAGCGCAGCGCGAAGCAGCGAAGCGCAGCGCAACGCGGTTCTCAGCGCGGCACGAGGAGGCACGATAGCCGGATTGGTTGATCGGCTGGCCGCTGGCAGTCCCGGGCCCCCGGGCCCCGGCAGCCCTGGCCTGGCAGCCTGGCACTTGGCAGGTCGGTCGACTGGTCGCGACTCACTTGCCCGGCTTGGTCGGCCGCGCCGCGCCGCACCGCACCGCGCCGCATCACGCCGCATCGCGCTGCATGGCCTGGTACCGCTGGTACGTGAATTACGTACGTGGTCGCTCCGACAACTTCGCCCGCTTTGCCGATCCTCACCTCACGATCGTTCTTTCACAACGAGCGTTCTCTATGTCTGTCTTTCTTTTCATCTCTTTTCTCTTGATTTGCTCCCTACCGACCAAGAGTCTTCCCTCACCGCCTTTACGTACGTATTCTTTTTGTCCTCCGTCGCCGGTCGCCGATCGCGCTAGTACCCGCTCGTCGCGCTCGAATTTCAAATTGCTGACGAGTCTTTTGCTCTGCTGGCGCCTTATATATGTATGTACGTATTACGTACATACATATACGTTACCACTTTCCTAAGTGTCGTAAAACATGCCATTTTCAGTCAATCGCTAAACTTGTTACACGTATCTAGCAAAATTTCTTATGCGAGAAATATCTTTGGAAAAGAAAGTGGAAACGCGCGCGATCACTATACGAGTGATATTGGAAAATATCATATCTCTCTTATTCGTTATTTTCGTTATAGCCTTATATTATAAGTATGTACTTTTCTCAATTTTATAACATAGATACTTAAGAACGTCATACCTAATAGCAATAAGAGAAGAAAATTATTTTTCATGTAGTTATATTGCCAAAATTAAAGGATCACCTATTCTGATCGTTAAAAATAGGCAAATTTCAAAAGATTTGAAATTTTATCAAAAAAATTGTAATTTTATCAAAAATGATTGTAACAGAATGATCCAAAAAGCATTTTACAGCTTGAAGTCTCTACTTTCGAAATCCATAAATCATTAAATGATTTACTGATTCTTTACAAAGCTGTACGAATGCAAATGGAGATGCATCAAATCTAAAAATTGTTTACTAAGTTTGCAAAGTTCCATGG